AAGGTGAATACATTTACCTTACATAAGAATTATCGTAAATCCAATTTTGAGCTAAAATTTTTTTTCCCGCTTCTTAAAAATTTTGATTTTAATTTTTTTTTCCTCTGTCTGTGTGAAAACGTATAATGTCATCAGGGGTTTGGTAATGATTATACAAATATTTCTAATGCAAAACTAAATTATGTTGAGATTGGAACTCTGGAATAATCTTCCAGTTCTCTAATAATATAAGAAGTTTTTTAGCAAAAATTTCAAGAAAAGGCTTATGAAAACTATTGCGTTGAGAAGGAACTCGGTGAGAAATCTTATTAATCTCTTAATGTGTCTTGGATGTTTCACTCTTGTGGCACAAGAAGTAGGGAGCACTCGATTTCCGTAAGATACTTGATATTTCGGAGAGACACCTAGGTAGATCAAGGGTTTAATAAATTACAATTTTTTAATAAATTATATTTGGAGTACAAATCATAAAACCACAAGTTGAAGATGTAAAAAAAAATTTTAGATCTCCTGAAAAATTTTCAAAGTGCGGTTTAAAATGATTCTGATGTAGTTTTTGTATTTAATTGTAAATACAAAGGTTTGAAAATAAAAAAAATTTAGCTATTCCTCTTAATCTCTACCACTTTCCCCTCTGTCTCCTTTTGCCATCTTTTATCGTATTCTTCATTTCTTTCCTTTACAATTTTTGTACTTGAATTAGGACTCTTCTAAAATGATTTTCTTTTTTCTATTTCGTATTGTGTTAAATTTATTTTTATTTTTTTTTTGTCCAAATAGAAGAAGAAGAAGAGAAAAAGGAATATTTATTTTAAGGATTTTCCTTTCTATTCACAATATTTTCTATTCATAAAAATATCGAATTCCTTTTATTTTTTTTATAATAATAAAAGGGCGCCAAAAAAAAAAAAATCGAAAGGACGTGAAGGAAGAATAAAACAAAAAATATAATTACATATTAAATTTATAAATTTCTAGAAATATGTACAGGGTGTTCTAAGTTTGGGGTTAACCCCAAAGCGCACGTTGATAGAATAAACGATAGAATAAATAAAGTTTGGCTAAACCAATTGCTTGTGATACAGCACTTTTCGCTTCAACAAGTGAAAAATAATGCTTAGAAACACTCCATTTACATACTATATTATTAAAATCATTTTCATTCATATACGAACATTTTTCAAAGATTGCATACGTTTATGATCATCAAGGTATGCAATCTTTGAAATAAAGAAAAAGAAAATTTTTGAGAGGCGAAAACATAATGCTCGCGTTTAAGGGTTAGTTGCATGAGTTAAGAAAAATAATTATATTTTTTAATGACAGGGTATTTACCATTACCTTTATTGTTTTTTGGAAATTTGAAAAGGCTTGCAGTGTCGGAAATATAAGGTGCCAAAAATTTCAACAAGAGGTGATAACTTGAGAGGGGGTGGAGGTAAAAAAATATTTTCTTCTAACAAAATGAACTATTTATTAGTGTCTGAAAGCTGTTAATTTCAGGCTTTCATAGCCTGGGGTTTAGGATTTTAGATAACGGTGAATTTTAAAGGCCATATTGTTTTTGTCAAGTTCAAATACAGTATACAGTACGGTAGAAGAAGTCAGCCATTATTTTTCTGCTCTTACAAAATTTAAGGAATGCTAATGGTTTTGCTGCAATACATATTTAAAACAAGTAAAAACGTTTCAGTCGGTATAAACCGACCGAATTATACCCTGCATGTTAGCAATCTGAGTTTAAAATTTGTTTTTGAAACTGCATGGATATGTCTGAACTATAATTGGACACACAACTCTATTATTTTTTTGAATATTTTAAATTAGCTTTTGAAGTTTAATGGCAGCTACTCAAACCTATTAGGCCATTCAATTAAAACTTCAGAGATATTTGTGAATTGATATAGGGCACACGACTGTCAAGTTTCCAATTTTTCAACTGATGGAGTTTCATTCAATCGCGCCATCTGCTATCGGATCTTCGACACGTTCCATATATACATAATCATATATAATTGCGTGTGTTTTAATAAAAGCATACGCAAAAATTTGTTTTTATTTAATTTGTTAAACACGTATACATAGTAGACACAAAATCATTTAACAAACTACATACAAACATATTTAAAACTATACGTAAATCCAAAATAATCATAAAATGAAAATTGATAAAATACTTAACAAGAAATAAACAAGGATATTAAAATTTGATAAAAAAAAGAAAAAAAAAATTAAAATATAAGGATAATAAATTTTATGTTTCTTTTTGGTAAAACTACGATTTCCGGAATAAATTTATAGGTTCCGAAAGTGATTAATAAAACAAAAAAAAAATATCGCAACCCACTTTTACTCTTTACGTAATTACAAATAACTTAATTAAATTGATTTGATCCTTAAATATTAGGACTATAGTAATAAATTCAAAGAAAATTCAGAAAGTTCAATGTGGTATATATGTATATACGATATACGATAAAGATATATGTTGTTTCCATATAGCTTATAAGAAGTCTTCTTATTTCGTTAAACATAGATAATACCTTCACTCTACTATTCCTTATTGTAGACTATAGATTGTAGATTTGCAAAATAGGGTGACAATTCATCTATTACCCCGAGACCAACGATTCTTTTTTCTCATCCTTATTCAAATATGATAAAAATCTCTTGCTTGGTAACACAATCAGTCCATCCATTTCCATTTACACTTACGCTTTAATCCCCAGGAATTTTCTTACCATATATCTATATTATATAAAAAATTAAATTTTATTAATTAAAAAAATATTTAATTTTTGTCAATAACTAAAACTTAACAACATTACTTCTTATTTTCAGTATTGCTGCTTTTGTCTTTCTTATAGAAATGCGGCCGATCACAGGCGCCAAATTAAAAATTAAAACTTATTCATCATTTGAAAAAATTAAATGGATTTTTGCAACAAAATAGTTTATAATACAAAACGGATATAGAAAATAATAAAAATGTGCTATATATTTTAAGAACAAACAAAAAAAAAATAAATTAAAACCAAAAATCACAGCAACGGAAACTCATTTCAGCTGCGAACGGATTAACACATCACGGTGGCCATAATAAATTTAAAAAAAAGCAAAACATATTGACATATACTAAGAAAAGAATCCTCCTAGGGTTTAACTAAGTGATTTTTTTTTTGTTTTTTTTTTTATGTAGTTATTACATAGTGCCATTTATTTTAATATATATATATATATACATATAATTTGTACCATTATTAAAAATCAATTCCATATATTATTTCTCTCAAAATAGCAGTTATTTTTATTTAAAATAAATAAAAAGAAAAAAAACAAATAATAAAAATATTTGACTAAAATAATATGTCACACAATATTAACAATATTAATGAGAATTGTGAAACAAATAAAAATATAAATTTTCATGAAAAATATTATTATAAGAAAAATATTAATAACAATAAATTAAATAATAACAATAACACGAATATTAAAAGCATAAGTAACACAAAAAATCATTCAATTAATAACGAACATTACGTCAAAAATAATAAATATAATAACAATAATAACAGTAATAATAACAGTAACAATAAAACTAATAATAACAATAATAATCAAAGCAATAAACAATTATTAGATAAATCAGTATTATATAATTCAAAAAATAAATTAAATAAAATTCAAAAAAAAGAAATAGAAATTAAAAATAATAAAAATACAATATCAAAATTAAAAATAATAAAAAATAATATAAATAACAGTAATAATAATAATAACATTCATAATAATTATTATCGTACTAATGATGGAAAATTAAAAGATTACAATAATAAAAACAATAATTACATTGATAAAAATAAGTATCAGTTTTCTTTCAATAAAAACTATCTCAAATATTACTGTGACAATATTAAAATATTAAAACAAAATTCTGAAACAAGTAAAATTTTCGAAAAATTAAATTCAATTGAAAAAAAATATAAAAACTATGATAATTATATTAAAACTAATAAGAAAAATTATATAGAATCAGTACAATTATTATATAAAATAAAATTATATTATAAAGAGCAATATAATAATAAAAATATTATTAAAAAAAATATCAAAAATAATAATATCAATATTAGAGGCGAATATAAAGGCTGTGATATAAAAAATTGTTTAAGTAATAAATATTTTAAGAATAATAATAATATTTTAAAAGAAAATATTCGTGAGCGAAATGAAGACTCAGTTGTACAGGTATAAAAATATTAATATATTATCCATTATTATTATTCAATATAGACAAAAGTAAAAAATATAAATTTCACTTTGATAAAAACTTAATATTTTTTTTTTTCTTTTTCAGATAAAATTAAAATCTAATATCATAATGCAATTATCCAATAATAATACACATAAAGAAAAGATCGCAGCAGACACAACAATTAGTAAAACGGCAAAAAATTTTATAACTAATAGTAATAATAATAAAACATTGAAAAATAATAATAATAATAATAACGATAATAGTAATATTAATGATAATAATAACAATAACAGTAAAAGAACGAGAACTCAATATACAATTACTGATTCATACGATCAAAATAATATAATACCGCCATTAAAACGTTCTAAAAATAATAATAATAATAATAATAGTAGAATAAGTCATAAAAATTTTACTAAAAATAATAAAAATATCAATAATAATGACAAAAATAATGATTATATAATTAATAATTTTAATATTTTAAACAGTAATAGTGATAATATAGATAATAATAACGATAATAATAATAATATTGATTATAATACGAATGATAATTGTTTAGATGATAATAACAATAATAATAAATATAATCCTAATAATTGTTCAATTAATAATAATTTAAATGATATTTCAATAAATATTATAAATAAAGATAACGATAATAACAATAACGTAAATAATAATGGTGATAATAATAAGAATATCGATAAAAATAAAATAAATTATGATGATTGTAATGAATTTTTAAATATTAATGACAAAATTAATAATAATATAAATAATAATTTCAAATGTAAAAATGATGATAATTTTTATAATAATATAACTACATTGATAACAAATGATTCAATATCAAAAGTTACAGAAACAATAGCAACAGAATCAAAATTAACAACATCAATAAAATCATCAAATATTAATCCAGATATATATTGCAATATTGATAAATCAATATTGATGCCACCATCTAATGATCTTAATTATAATAAAGATTTAAATTCATTAATGTTATTACGACATAATAATAAAAGATCATCATCAACAGAATCACAACAACAAGATTATTGGCATAATTTTAATGGTGATATTTTAGTGCCATCAGAAAATATAAATAATAATAATAACAATAATAGTAGCAATAGTAATAATAATAAAAATAGCAGTAATAGTGATTGTCAAAAAACTAGTGATCAAATTAATTGTAATAATAATAATAGTAATTATAAAAATATTCATAATAAACTATTGACAAATCAAATGTCAACAACAACAATGACTGTTGCAACTGTAACATCAATAACGACCTCAACAACATCGTCACAATCATCATCATCACAATCATCATCTGTATCATCATCACCTAATAATGCTGAACTACCAACATTATTATTATCAAATAACGATGATCAAATTAGTATTAATAAATCATCATCATCTATAAATAATATTATAAATGAAGAAACGGTTGCAGCAGCTGCTATACCAATAACAAAAATTGATACAATATCAGCATCAAATTTAACAGATTCAAAATCACCAAAATCATCAACAGCAACAACAACAGCTACAATAACATCCCAATTAAATATTTTTTCACCAATTGATAAATTATTATTACAATCAAAAACTATTAATGATGATAATAATGATAATGATGTTAATATAAATAAATCAAATTTATTTACAAAAAAAAATAATGATAATAGTAATGTTAATTATAACAATAATTATGATAATAATGATGCTAACAATAATACAAATAATGTACAGAAACAACAACAAGAAGATCAACAACATATTATTAAAAATTCAATTGATGATTTCGAATATAACACAGATAATAATAATTCAACAATATTAAATGCATATAATATAAATTTATGTAATTTTAATAAAAATAATGATATTTATGATACAACAACAAATTTAATTAATATAAAACATTCACCAATAGAGTCACCAATTTTAAAATATGAAAATAATTTATATGATAATAAAGAATTATTATTAGTTGATAGAGATAATTTAGATATATTAGATAATCAATTTGATAGTAAATTGCATGAACAACAACAGCAACAACAATCACAACATAATTGTCATCAGGAAGAATTACATCAAGTACAGCATATAGAGGAAGAAACAATACAAGAACAAGAGGAACAAGAAAACAATATTAATTTAAATGATAGTTTAATTACAACATTAAAAACATCTATAACATCATTATCATCTTCATCATCAATAGCGTCACCACCATTATCATTAGTAACATCAGTATCAACTACAACAACAACCGAAGCTACATCATTAACAACATCAATGCCCTTACAAATAGCTGAGCAACCAGTTATTACAACTGCATCAAATTATAATATAAATACCAGTATAGCAAATAATAACAGTAATAATAATAATAATAATAATAGCAATAAAAATAATAGTAACAGTAATAACAATAATAATACTAATAGCAATAATAACAATAGTAACAATAATAATAATAACAACAATAATAATAACAATAATAATAACAATAATAATAACAATAACAATAATAATAATAATAACAATAATAATAATAATAATAATAATAATAGTAGCAATACAATTAGCAATTCATCACAGAAACGTACCATGGATGATGTTGTTAAGCGTTTAACAAGTAATATAAGAGTAAATTCAGTTAATTCAGATCCTCGACAACCGGATAATAGTTCGCCGCATTCAAATAGTAATAAGTAAGTATATATTTAATATAATTATTTATAAAATTTAAAATATAAAAAAAAAAGTCTGATTTGGTTACCACATAATCGACCGCAATATACATTGTCTAGTTTACTTAAAAATGTTACAGAACATAATGACGATGGGTTGTAAAGACTTCCCGTCAATTTTAAGAATACCAGCCAAATTTTAAAATGTTCGAAAGAAGGTTCACTTCCCGTGGCCTGATATATCCCGAAAGCTATAAATAACGGTTTTTATAGCCGAATTAACTCACTTATAAAATTTCATCAAAATCGGTTCAGTTGGATTTCGGATATGTACCGCTTGCATACACAAACCGACCGACGTAAAGACGGATATCTCTTTAAAAATAGTTTATTTACATTTCCTTACCATTCAGAAGTGCATTTCCACCGAAAACTCGACATCCAAAATTTGGTGCAATCACTTAATCTCCCTTATTGTATGCGGTTGGTAACTAATATTAAATACTGCGAAATAGACGATATATTAAGGGGTGTATGTAACGTATATGTTTTATTTAATATAAATAGTAAATAAAAAAAATTCCCCTTCCAATATGTAAAATAATTTTTTTCACTATGACAATTATTAATTTTCTATCTTTTTAGTAATATTATTAATTATATTATTATTTATTATTTATAGTGAAAATTCATCGCCGTCACCACATTCATTATTATTATTAAATGATCATCATAATACAAGTGGTGCAAGTGGTACAATAACTGCAGATAGCATTCAAGAACAAGAACGAATGTTAACTGCAATGATTAGAAAATTGCAGATAATTAGAGAAGGTCTTTTAAATCAAGTAAGTTAATTTTTTAATTAGAAAATTATTAATATAAATAATAATAATTTATAAATCAATCGTATATGGAGATCTATTAAATGAGAAAAACTAAATTGCGAATAAAACATTGCTCTACTTTCAAAAATTTTGCATTTCTTATGAATATTTGTTTGACGTTTTCAATCTTATATTCGTTAATGTCCAAGTGCATCTACCCCTTCCCCTCCTTCAACCTTGCCCATTAAATAATATTCTTCTTAATAACTACTAACAAATTAAAGAGCTTCAACGTTATTTTCGAAAAACACTGTATGCAACAAAATTTACTTATAATTTCACCATACATCAACTCCTTCCTTTTTGAAAGAGTTCTTATTATTAAATATTGAGTTCTGTATTGCTTAAATTTCGCCAAAACAATAATGCAAATATTTGGTAAACCGTATTAATATTTAATATTACCATTTTGACAACTCCGCCCAAATGTATGCAATTTTATAAAAATATAATTAAATATTAATATATTTCATTATTTAGAACAAAAATTAAATATAAGTTCTACAGATTTGAATTTGGTAAATGGTCCCATTTATGAAAAATCATAAGTCTTTCATTTATATCAAAGCTTATCCCTTTCCAAATTTCTTATGTTTTTAAATTATCATTTAATTTTGTTTTCTGTAAAAAAAAAAAATTGTGAATGAAGAATTAAATTTGAGAATAGGCAAAAGAATATTTGAAAAATTTTGAATAATATGGTCCTGATATGAATTTTAATTTTAATTTTGTCGATTGATATATATATATATAAATATATATATATATTTATAACGGCACATATGTGTTATTCATATCCTTTTTATAAATTTCTGAAAGAAAAGCAATCTTTTTTTATGTTTAAATTTTTTTTTTAGATGTAATTGGTACATTTTTAGAAATCCTACGCCTCTCGACCTAACTAGAATTGCAGTATTTCGAAAACGTTTTTATAATTTATATTGTTTTAACATGACAGAGTCATATTGTCTTACCGTAGAGTCAAATGGAGTAATTGTGCGAGGAATAGGATGTGTGTTGTATTTTTTTTTTACTAAACAATTATCCACCATAAATACTCGTATTAACTTTATTACACTGCTTAGGTTTTTCAGAAAAGAACTCGGTTTCGAAACGGTTAATTTAATCGATATAAACTATTATAAATAATTTGTTAAGATAGAATTTTTACAGTCTATATCAAATTAAAATGCATTTCCGATAAATGTACTTATAAGAACATACACAATAACATAAATATTAAGATGTTTCAAGAAAATCAAAAGATTTAAGAAAAAATAAAAATTTTCGTATAGTGAATTTAAAATCACCAATTTAATATGTGTGTGTGTGTGGAAATTGTATTTGAATCATTAATGTTGTCATGTCACATAAATTTTTTCTTTTTTCTGTCAGCATAATTTTTTTTGCTATCAAAGAATACTTTTTCTGGGTGTATATGTGTGTGCTTCCGTTTTATACCTTTAGGCACACAAAAATTTTTTGTTTTATATTCCATTCAATGTCTTCGTTTTCGATTTTTCCTATTTAATTTTATGTTTTATATTTTTGTCTTCTGATTTTCAATATTTTTGCATTCCATTCACATAATTTTTGCCTTATTATTATGATGTCCTTTTCAACATCATATTAAAAAAAAAAAAATATGTAATAGAAATTTGATGATATTATTGAAATTTTCTTGTATTATTAGTGAAAATATGAAAATTGTAAGAAATCAGCAGAAAAATTAGGTTTTTTTTTGTAATGTTACAAAAAAAAAAAATGTAAAAATTTCATTATTTTTAGGGTCATTACTAAGTTTCATTTGTATTATGGAACTGAAGGAATTATTAAGTTCTATAATAGTACTTGAGCTCTTATTTTAAATATTATATATATCATTCTTCTTATATATATGAAATATATAAGAAAAATTTTCATATACAAATATGAATTATCCAAATTAAGCTGAAATCCAAAAAAAAACATAGTGATTTCTCAATATAATAGGATGATCAAAGTTACAAGCAGATGAAAAATTTTCTACTATCGTTGCCAGTATAGACATAGACAATTGAAATATTAGTATACACATACGCAATTTCTTAAACATTGTATTATGGTTAATAAAGGCTAGTTTCACGAAAAAACTGGCCAATATGATCTTATTTTTCCGTCAAAACCTTTTCTTATAATAGTTTCATCGTATACTCTATAATTTTTGTTCCGGGAAATTTTCAAATTTCGGAACCTGATTCATCTAAATCATTTTTTTTTTTGAGTATTGAAAAAAACTACCAAGATATTGAAAATATAAATGTTTCCATACCTATACGAAAAAGAAGCAAATTTAGTTGAAATTTTTATGCATATAATTTTTTTTCGAAAAAAAAAATAGTTTCAATTTAAGTAACTTTATCTGATTACTGCAGGTATAACGGACAATATAATAAATTTATATATATATTAACATATGAACAAAAGTATGTACATATATGTATTAATAATTGTAATCTGAATTATTTTATGTCAATTATGTTATAATTTATAAATCCCCATTCATATAATCTTTTAAATCAATAATACATTTGGTATGTGTATTTGTACAAATATAATTTTATGAATAATCTCATATTAACTATACATATAGCATCTATTAACATTTTCATTTGTGGTGTATATTATGTGAAATATTATTCTTATAGGATTATTATAATATGTATATTAACACAAACCGAAAAAGAAAAATTTCGGTTTTTTACCGATCGCATTTTATTAAAAAAATCTGATGCGGTCAGCACATAACCAACTATAATGTATATTGCCTAGTTTAGTGAAAGTGTTACAGAAAAGTATGAAAATGCATTTTGAACATTTCCTTTCAATTTTAAAGAAGTCAGCAAGATTTTATTTAATATACCTAGAAAAGTTTAAATTTGGCTGTTAGTAGAATTTCGTTTTGTGTGGCTCGAACTTCCCGAAAAGTGCACCAGTTGACTTTGGTAAGCACCAGAACTCAAATATCAAATTTTAAGAAATTTCATTAATCCGTTTCATAAATATGGTATAAAAAAATAAATGTGAGTTTATTTAGGATATGACACGGATTGATCAACTTTCGGGATATATCAGACATCGGGACATGTTCGTTTTTACGAGTCAATTTTACATTTTTGCGTATATAAAGAGAAATAATCAACCAATTTCCTTGAAATTTAATATTTAAATTGGGGGTGTTGAAACAATGAATGTGTAAATTTTTTTGGAAAGATCAGGGAAGAATCGGATGTTGGGGCCGATTTTACCTTTTTAGCACTTTTCCAAAAAATTTTTTGAAAAAAGTGCTTATTAGTTTCACTCTGTCCGTCCGTCCGTCCGTCCGTCCGTCCGTCCGTCCGTCCGTCCGTCCGTGGACACTTTTTTTGTTTACAAAACTTCTACACCCTTTAAGATAGAAAGCTGAAACTTCATACGTACATAGATCTTTACTAGAAACTTATTTCCGTAGAACAAAATTTTTACCTATCTCCCCCCCTCTAGAAGTTATACCCCCCCAAAACTCTAAAAATGGCCTTTTTTAACTATTTGTTGCAATGAAACCATAAGCATTTTTGAAATTTTGCAAACGCAGAAAGGCAGTGGCTTGCTTCCCCTAGCGTGATATACTATAGTTAAACTTTAGAAAAACAAAATGGCCGTTCAAATTTACCGTTATCTAAAGTCCTTTTTTTCCAAATTTTTGATGTCATTTTTCTTCTAGACCCCAGCCTGTAGAAGCTTGAAATTTTAGGAGCTTTTAGACATTAACAAATAGTTCATTTCGTTAGAAGAAAATTTTTTTCCATCTCCACCCCCTCTCAAGTTATCACCTCTTGAAATTTGTAAAATTTGAATTTTTGACACCTTATATTTCCAAAACCGCAAGCTTTTCCAAATTTTTATAAACGCAAAAAGCTAACGGTAAATTCCATGAAATTAAAAATATAATTATTTCTCTTAACTCACACAATTAACCCTTAAAATCGAGCATTATGTTAACCCCTTTTTATATTAATTTTTGCTTTATTTCAAACACTGCATATATGCGTCATCCTAAATATATGCAATTCTAGAAATAGTTTTGTATATGAATGAAAATAATTTTAATAGTTTGATAGGTATACATAGACTGTATTTAAAAGCAGAATTTTCACTTGTTGAAGGGAAAAGTGCTACAATACAAACCGTTGGTTTGACCCAACTTTATTTACCATATCTACGGAACGGATTGAAGGAATTTCTTGAAATTTGAGCTCTGGTTGTTACCGAAACTAACTGAAAAGCTTTTCAGGGAATTTAAGTCACACAGAGAGAAATTCTAGTAAGAGCAAAATTACACCTTTCTGGATATGTTGGCTAAAAGCTTGCCAATTTCCTTAAAATTGAAATCAAAATGCATTTTCTTAATCATCTGTAACATTTTTACTAAACAAGGTAATACACATTGCGGTCGCATTAGATTATATGCTGATCACATTAGATTTTCTTAAACAATTTTTTTAACGATTAACTAACGTTCGTTAATTACTTCCTAACGATATGTTAGGAAAATCAAAAGAAATCAAATTCAGAAATTAAGTATTCGGATACCAGAAATTAAGCCTATATATATAAATTTCAAAATTTGTTATATTCTTTGAACCCTTCCAAGAAATTTAATTAATAAAAACAAAATTTATAAATTATCATTCGGTAATTTATATAATTTAATCGATTATATGATAACCATATCAATTATTAGAACATCATGTCATAAAATATCATATATTACGATACATTTACATTTATCTGAATACTTATTTTACAGGTACACACACACATATACACAAGTACATGCGTATATGAATATTTAATATATGATAAATTATAAATGCTTTAATAATTTATTTTTTTAAAGATTATATTTTTACATATAATATATACTTATAAAATATATACAT